AAAAGAGGCTGAATAAATATTTTCCAAAAGAGGAAAGGAAAATTTCCCAAAGTACATGAAACAGTGATTAATAGCATTAATCATCAGCGAAATATAAATTGAAAATAATTTGCAGGTTCACCTCACAGCAGTCAGACTGGTTGTTACCAAGAAGAAAAGATCAGAGCTGGTGATGCAGTGGGAACAACTGGACACTCTTGAGGGGATGTGGAACAGTACAACCATTAAGGGAAATGATACAGAGGTTTTTTTAAAAAAATTAAAAAGTGAATCTATATCATCTACTTATTTCTCTTGAATGGGCATTTCTAAATTAGTGACTGCTAATTAGTAAATGAGTAAAGGTTTTAGTGATATACAATATTAACGAGTGTGGAGAACCAGCACATTTAGAGATATTACAGCAGTTGTTCAGGGTGGCTTCTTGATTGTTCAGTATAATTCATTACAGACTATATAACATTAATATTTAAATATAAGCTATATCTTTAAGTGGCTTCCCTTACTATGACACTATAATTAATAATTTAGTAAGTCATCAGTTTGTGTTTGACATACAGAATCCTTTCATTATGAAATTACATCAGTTTAGGGTGCTTTTAGAGGCAAGGAAGAGAACAATTCAAAAAGGCTTAAAAATAAAAAATCTATTATAGTATATATAGGCCATCTGGAGGCAGGTTTGGGTTTTATGTTTCTGCTCATGATTTTGGCTGTTCTCCTTTACTTCATGGAAGAAGCTTGGCTTTTAAAATCTCCATGTATCACACTCCTGTGCAATAATATCTGAAATTGGGAAAGAAACATTTCACTGGCTTCCTTTGAAGGAAAAATTGCCATATGTTGTTCCTCAAATTTTATTGGCTGGAATTGCTTCAGAAGAGCACTCCTAAACCAAACATGGTTGAAGAGACTGGTGTTATATAGTTCCCCTTGAATAATCAATGTCCTGTAGCTGATAGGGAGCTCTCCCTCCACTTTAAGCTGAGAACTGACCAATCAAATTTAGTGTCCCTTTAGTAAAGAAAAAGAAAAAGAATGGGAGATAGTCAGATATGTCTACCCTGGGCCTGGGAATAATGGCAAGGTCTTTCTGGTAAAAATATGTGAACAGTGTCAAAAGCCAACATTTATAAAGTATACTAATTTTATATACTTTACATCTGTGATCTCATATAGACTTCACTTGCATCAATTAATAACGCACTTATGCATTTTATTTTATTTAAGTTTATTGATATATATTGGGTATTTAATGATCACATTCATTATATGGAACTTGTATTTACACATGATATGTCTTGATTCCTATTTTTTTCCCATTCCTGTCTCCTCCTTTCAAACTCCCTTCCCCTCCCTGTTCACAAAGCTCTGTTTTCATTTTATTCTTCTTTTCTGAGGGAAAGGAAGGAAGGGCAAGAAAAAAATCATGTAAACTTCTGAACTTCATTTGGAAGTTGATTTTTTTTTCACTGATGGTCAAATGAGATTTTCAAGAGATTAAATGAATTGCCAAAGGGGCTTAGTGGCAAGGTTGGTTTTTAATACCTGGTTGGTTGGAAAAAGAGTTGCCTTCTTTGTGCCAGGTCTCTGCATGAGGGAGGACGCCATCAACATAGTCCATCATTTTAGCTTCCTAAGTCTGCCATTTCAGCCCGACACACTGGCAGGCTGGAAGCAACAAAGGGCAACAGAGATCTGCTGCCAGGGAGGGCCCTCCCCACCCCCTCCGCGCCTGGAGTCTTCCCTGGGGCTGCGGGCAGGTGCTCAGGCCCAGTGGGAATGGGACCCAGGGCCACTGCCAAGCGCAGCTGTCTCAGCGCTGGTCATTCCTCCCTGGGTTTCTGGAGCTAGGCGGCCCAGGGTCCCCGGCTGGGTCCCCGGCTGGCTGGGCTGGCAGACAGAGTAAGGGAGCAGGCAGCGCGCCCCGCGCTGGAGCTCTTGGGGCTCCTGGCTGCAGCTGCGAGCGTCTGCGGCCAGACCACCCTGAACGCGCCAGATCTTTTCTGGTCTCGGAAGCTGAGCAGGGTTGGGCCTGGTCGCACTTGCATGGGAGACCGTCTGGGGACACCAGGTCCCTCTTTCTTTTTTTTTTTTTTTTGGTTTTTCTCCGATACCAGGAACCGAACTCACGACCTTGCGCTTGCCAGGCAGGCGCTTTGCCGCTGAGCTAAATCCCCAGCCCCCACCAGGTCCCTCTTTCTTGCCTTTTGCCCGCACAGAAGCTCGCCCACTCGCTCTCACCTGGCACCCCTCGCCCTGCTACGGGCCCGGCCGCAGGGCGGCGGGGACACTGGCACCCGCACTCCCTGCCGCTCCTTTCCGGCTTGTCCACCCACGGTGCCCCGGCCTCTCAAGCCCACCCCGACTGGCCCCGGGCCACAGTGCCTACAACAGCTTGGGATCACGACTGCACCGCGCCGGAGCCCTACAGCCACCGCCGCTTTCCGCTCCAGGCCCGCCCCGTCTCTCAGAAGCCCGGTCACTTCCTGCCACACACTCTCACCACAGCCGGGGCTTCCTCCAATCCAACAGGAAGATCCCAACCAAAAAGCCCAGCATCCACCGCCCAAACACTCCCCTGAAACAGTGGCCGGCCGGCTCAGGATCGATCTGCACACGCGCTCCCACCTGGGACCTGTGTGCCATGCACACCTGGGGGCCATACCTCGAAATACGGGCAGGGAGGGGCAGGGAAGAAGAGACAGACAGAGGAAGGGCCTGAGGCCCACTTCCGACCCTCCATGCCCACCTGGCCCTGGACCCTCCATGCCCACCTGGCCCCAGGGCCACTCCCGCAGGACCCCCACTGGACCCCCGCCCGCCATACCTTCCCTTTCCCCTGTCAGCCGGCACCTAGCACTTTGGAGCTCACCTGGCGATACCATGTGATGCCACCCTCCTTCCACACGTCCCCTCAGGGACACCCTCTGCTCCCAGTGTGACCCCGTAGAAAGTCTGACACCGCTCCCTGGCTCCCCACACCCTCTCAACTCCATCTCTGCACTCCTCTCTCCTTTGCTGTCCTCCCCTCTCCCCTCTGAGGTGAGTGAGGGGAGCTGGTTACCCTAGCCTTTCATATTGCTGGCTATCTCCCCGTGTTGCCTCCCTGTGTGGACTTTTCCTGCTAAATTCTTAAATTAATTGTTACAGGACCTGGGGCATCCCCAAGTCTAGCTTCTGTCTCTCTCTTTCCCTTTCTCTTTCTAATTGTTGGAGTCTAACTAGAGAGGTAAAAGCTGCCTTTAGTAAGGTTTCACATTAATTTCTTCCATAAAGTTTAATGAGACCCTATTTTATCCTTTCCCCTGCCTGTTACCCCTGTCTCTACTTTTGCAGCTCCTTGGCTTTCAATTCAAGGGTCCACATGACATACAGGCCTCACATGTAAATTCTGTGGCCAACTGCAAAGCCTGTGTACCTCTGACCTGGACATTCCACATGAAGGGATCCACTGGAGACACTAATATCACAGACTCACAGGTTCCCTTCGCATTGTGATGGTGGGGACAAGTTGGAAACCATTTCATGGTCAGCAGCAGAGGCTGCTGAGTCCAGTGTAAAGTGGCAGCCGCTGGAAATGCTTGAGCAGGGGTGGCTGACTCAGCCACGACCCCACTGACAGAAGAAGGATATGGCTGACACCCCAGCAGCACAGAGACACACCTATTCCCAAAGGGGAGGACAGGAAGCAGGAGCACCTTACACAGAGGCCACCTGGTCCTGGGTAGAAGACTGTGATTTCTTTCATTCTGCATTCACAGTCCATTAGGTTATTGTGATTTCTTGTCTTACAATTTATTTCCTTAGGAATAAAACTTGGGCCAGGGCCATAGCTAAGCAGTACAGTGCCTGCCTGGAAAGTGCAAGATGCTGAGTTCAATTCCTAGTACCAAATTAATAATAATAATAATAATAATAATAATAATAATAATAGTAATAATTGACTGCTGAGAACACTGACACAGGAGGATCACTGCAAGTTTGAAGCCAACCTGGGCTACAAAGTGAGTTCAAGGTCAGCCTGAACCACATAGTGAAAGCTTGTCTCAAAAAGACAATAAATAAATGAATAACTAAATAAACTGAATAAATACATGATTGAAAAAAGATAGATTATACTACTGATCAAACTATGATTGAAAGTATTCATTTTATAAAACCCCAAATTTCACTAAATGCACTTATAAACATTCCTGCACTTCAGCCAGCAGAGCTGGTGATCATTAATGGTGAAGGCCTCTCTCAGCCTTTCTCTCCACCTCCTTCAGTCAATCTGTCTGTCTCCCTCCCATATGTAGGCTTGTTAGCAAGTATATGTGTGCATAGATTCATTCATAGATGTGTCATTAAAAGATGAGCTGCTCCATACAGACAGTCTGCACACGTCCAGGTAACGTTTTCACGTTGACGTTTTCCTGCGCGTCTTCTCCTGCAGTCCGGAAGGGCCGCCTTCATGGGTGCGCACCATTCCCTCCTATACAAGGCCCATAGAGGGATCCTATGGAAGGTTCCAGTTGCTTCCTACTTCAACCACTGATATGGACAGTAGTCTTGAAAAAGAAGTCTTGGAAAGTGGTGTTGCTGTGCATGTGAGAAGAATCCCTAACATTAGCTCTGCAACACAAAGGGACACGTTCCAAATTCTGATGAGCTGGGTGAGGTGGCACATGCCTGTAATTCCAACACTCAGGAGGCTGAGGCAAGAGGAAGCCTGTGAATGTGAGGCCAGCCTGGACTACATAGTGAGTTCAAGGTCAGCCTGGACTACACAGCAAGAAAAGCCAAAAAACCCAAAATCAAAGCCAAAACAGAACAAAAAGTCTGATGAGCTGCCACACAGCTCTGAGACAAGAGCCTCTAGGACCATGTCCTCCAGGGCACCTTCCACCTGCTGCCTTCCATATTCTTACCAGGTCTGGGTGACCTCAGCCTTAGGACACACTGATCTGAAAAAGACAGATAACCTTTCAGGAATATGTGCCTTTGTGTCACTGCAGGTTGATCATCTTGGCCCTGGGAGTGGAGATTATCTCCACAGAAAGGAGTCTTTTATTCCATTAAACAATGGATTCCTGAGTGTTCCCTGTACCCTGGGATATGCATCTTTCAAGATGATGTGGTGCTGAGTAAAACATTTCACCTTGAGATCTGTCCTTGTAACTCTTAAAAGTTATTCTTGTTTTTTCTTCCCTTGAAAAATGGGTCAGCCATTTCCTTGTAGTTTCTGTCCCTCAAGTCGTGGGCTTGCAATTCCGATCCCCACAGGGTGGAGACATCCACTACAGGCTTTCCTTTTTACCTGCCTGCTGTGGACTATTGCCCCTTTTAAACAAAATTAGGATGAATCACTCCCTTCCAATACTGTGTGGCCAAGGAGATATTGGATTGCAGCGATGTAAAAAAAGTCCTCAATAGGGAAATCACAGGGAAAGGAAGAAGACTGGTAGCCAAGGACTGCACAGGGAGAGGAGAGGGACTTCATGTCAGTGTGGAACTGAGGACATTGTGGCACTGGACAGTAATGAAGCTGCCAGCTTGATGGCACTGACCGGACCATCACAAAAAATAATTCTGAAATTACACTAAAAAGCAATGTATTTACATATGTGTAGAACACTGGGAAGTAAGGGTATGAGTAAACACAGCAGTAAGTGGCACAGGTGGGGGGAAGAAGGGTGGGTGTTGGGCAGGAGTGGGCCACAGATGGATGGAGGTCAGGAGGTGACACCTGCTGCACAAGCACAAGGGCCTCAGGTCTGGAGCTGGTGGAGAAGCAGTTCCTGCAGCTGGCGAGATCACTTCAGTGCTAGAGCTGGTGAGGAAGCTGCAGGTAGAGCTGGCGCAGGCTCTGCATGTGGGACTTGAGCCTTGCAGCCAGAAGAGGAGAAAAGATCAGTGACTGTCCATATTCCTGCCTTGAGACAACTCTGTCCACCAGCCCATCCCAGGAAGGTACCCCTGACCACAACCACCTCTTGACTGCTGGGTCTCTTGAGGCTCCTGGGCGTACACCACACCTGGGAGTTCTTTCTACCTGTTCAGCCCCGTCCTCCTCCTGCAGGCCCACAGCACCTACCCCAGGCTTCTCAGCCCTGCTCTTGCTCAGCAGGCTTGGGGTCTATAGCGGGTTGAGAGGACAGGGGGCTGGGAGGTCCTCCTGGGTGTGCATCTCCAGCCAGGAGCCGAGGAGGGAGGAGACAAACCTGAGGGGCGACACGGAGACGACCTCAGGGAGCGGTGCGATCACCGTCCCTTCAGAGGCGCCTGGCGCCCATCACTCTGCCCGTGCCCACTGCAGGTGCCCTCTGTGGAAAGGGAGGGGCATCTGCAGCGGCCCTGGCTCTGTGGGCACGGGGTGTGCTCTGTGAATGTCTCAGAAGTGAGAGGAGAGGGAGTGTGTCCTGCCCCGCCTTCCCTCACTGTTTGGCTCATTTCTCTGCCCAATTGTATGTCTGTCCTCTGAGCTCTGCTTCTCTGTGCATGCATTCGATCCAGGGAGGTCCAGAGACTGTGGCATCTGCCATCCCAGGTACACTATCTGCTCCTCTCCCTTTAGCGGCTGTTTAGCCCCAGACTCGCACAGAAGCCCAGGAGGGCATCGGTTGCCTCCTCCTGGCCACGGGAGCACGCTCAGCGCCTAGATCAGTGTCTGCACACAGTGCGGCTTCATGCATACTCTTGGAGATGGGCACACATCAACCTCTTCCATGAGGTCGGAGTGGGCCTGAGCCTTCTGACAGCCCCCAGGGATTCCTGCTCCATATACACCTTGTAAAGGGACTCTCCCTTCTCTTATACAGGGAACAGAATAGTTTCACCCAAGTGCAGGGTTCAGTAGGGGGTGGGGGATCACGAATGAAAAGAAGTAGAGGCATTGCAGCAGGTCTTGCGCAGGACCAAGGCAAGGGCCAGCACCTACCAGCAGCTGGAGACGCCATTTTCTCTACAGTGATCCCATGGGCCTGACCTAGGAGCACTGCTCTGCTCTGAGATGCAAGGTATGGGGACATTTCCAGGACTCACAGATGTATATACTCAGTCACAGTGTGTTGCACAGGGCAACACTCACCTTCCCATCACCCATTCCACCTGTTGGGCAAAGGTGGAGGCCCTGGTGGCACTTGAGAAGGAGCGAGCACAGAAGGGTTGTTTGCTCTGGAATGCTGGCCCCAGCATCTGTGTGAGGGAGTGCGACATGACTGCCTTCACTGGCCACCCTGGCCAGACTTCTGTGATGCTCCCACCTGAGTGATTTCCAATCTGTGGTGTGACAGAGAGGACACATGGAATCAGTAGCCAAATTGGGAGACAGCAGGATGGTTGCAGGGTGAAGCTCAGACCAAACTCCACATTACTCTTTGACGTTTGCCTTGAGAGAGGCAGGAAAGCCCAGCACAGAATGGTTTTTAGAGGGAAAGTTAGATTTCAGAAGAGAACCGTGAGAAACAGTATGATTCCAAGCCAGTGTGTTAGTGAAGCGCAGGTGGCAACTACCTGCATACAGTGCATTCACCCATGTGAGCTGAGACACCAGCCCTTGGCAGAGATGAGAAAAGAGGTGTGAGTCCTCTGGGGGTGTGTCCATTCCATGTGTTGGGTCCGCACATGAGGACATCCATAGACACCGTTGAAATGGCTCCAGGAAGGAATGTGGTGCAGATTCCTGAGCATGAAAAGCTGGGTGGTCAGGGTCGCCACCTCTCTCCTGCAATGTGGCTCCGGTCAGAGACCCAGCTCCTGAACTGTAGAACTCAGGGTATTGGCCTGAGACAGCAAATGGCAGAGTAGGAGGAAGTCCTGATGTCTTTGGTGAATACTGCTCTAGAAATTTCATGATGTGTCAGAGTTGGAGAAGGGGTGGAGGGACAGTCAAGCCAGTGTCACATGGACACCTAGGTGCAGGAGTGAAAGTAATGGGAAGTGGCAGAACACACATCATGTGCAGAAGTGAAGTTGTGCAGTATCACTGTCCCTTCCCCTATGTTCCCGACAATGTGTGGAAAGAGCCCTTGCACCTAGGCAAGTAGGGAGATGAGCAGAGAAGAACTTGGTGAGGGAAGACATGAAGCCCAGATTCCTTTGGGAACAAGACACTGGGTTTGCTGTCGACACAGTCCTGCAGGGAGGGGTGAAGGCTGGTGTGTGGTCGCCAGGGCACTTGTGTTTCTTCTTTAACACACTGACAGGAGTCTCTTCTATTCCCACCATTACCCAATGGCTGACCTGGCCCTTGCTGGTGTCTTACAGCCCTAATATCTTGTGCAAGAAAATGTCCTAAAACTCCAGTGACCTGCTCTACTGCAATGTCCTGTGCAGCTATGTTCAGAGAGTGTCCGTCCACCAGCAGGAAGCATCAGGCCCTGCCAGCCCATCCTTTGGGATGTTTATGACCCTGGTGACCTTCTGTATTCCACATCACACAAATAATTGTGTTACAGGGTTCTACTCTGAAGAGGAAATGACTTCAGGGTCTGTGGGTTGACACTGTACCCTGGACCTCTCCACTGACCAGCCCTCTCCTGGATGTCAATGCACTAGGACACAATGCACACAACATTCCAGCATCTACTCCTGCACAGGACTTGTATCCCTCATAGCTGCAATTCCCTTACACCCACAAAGACATACTGGAGTTGTGCAGGGAACTCACAGTGGGGCCTAGGTCGCGGTAGACATCTGCTGGACTCCTGGTGTCTCTCAGTAGCTGGTGGACAGGCCTTGGAAGACATCGCCTGGATCCATTTCTGTCTCTGGGCACCATTTTGTCAGCCCAGAGAAGCTCTCCTCTGGTCTTCTGTCTGACTTCCATTGCCTAGTGGCAAGCTCTGGCAAGAACTCCTCAGGAATGACATTCTCTGAGCCCCTAGGTGTTTGTTGAGGCCTCATGGCCAGGCCAGGGTAGACTTTGCCTGGAATGACATCTCCTGGGCTCCTAGGTCTTTGTGGATTTCCCACACTCAAGTCTGGGAGGATTTCCCCTGGGAAGATGTCCCCTGTGCTTCTATGTCTTTGTGGATTTCCCACACCTTGGCCTGGGAGGATCTCCTGTGGAAAGATGCTCCCTGGGCTCCTAGGTCTTTGTAGGTGGCCCATGGCCTGGCCTGGGAAGATGTCCTCTGGGAAGATCTCGCATGGGCTACCAGGTATTTGTGGATCATGCATGAGCAGGCCAGGGAAGACCTCCTTTGTGAAGACCTCCCTTGCACTCCTCAGTGACTCTGGGCTGCTGTGGCCTGGGCTGTCAGTGTTATAGTCCAGGCTACTAATAGTCTCTGGACTGCTGGTTGCCAGGTCTGGGGAGACCAGTTGAGAGCCAAGTGGTATCTCTGAGCATGGGGTGCCTGGGCCTGGGGAGACCTGCCTTGGTCTCCATGATGTCTCTGTGTCCTGAAAATTTGGGCCTATGGAGGCTTCCCCTGGGTCTCTCGATTTTTCTGTGTGCCTGGTGGTGAGGCCTAAGGACACTCGCCTCAGGGTCCCGGGCTCCTTGTTTGCTTTGGGCTCCTGGGATCGGGACCTTTGCATATCTTCCCTAGGTCCTTGGGGGCCTTTTGCTGCTTGGTAGCTGAGCCTAGGGAGACCTCTTCACTCTTTAGTGTCTCAGGATACCTGGTGTCGTGGCCTGGGGCACCCTTCCCTGGTCGCTCTGGCATCTTTCTGATTTTGGAAGCTGAGCCAGGGGAGATCTGCTCCGGGCTCCTTAGTGGCTCTTGGCTTGTGGTGGTCATGCCTGTGGAGCCCCGCTCTGGATTTCCTGTGATGGTTGTGTTGCTCCTGCAGTGTGGCCTGAGTTGCCTGAATGAGGCAAACTGTCTTCTGAGTCTTTTAAAGATGCTTTCTCTGCCTGAGGTCCTGAGGCTGTTGCCTCGAGAGTTGGGAAACAGCACAGCATGTCTGTTGTTCACAGTCCCTTGCTGAGTGAGCCCAGGAGGTAACTGTCACCCTACTGTGATGTGTGTTCTCAACGGTTTCAAGTTCCACATTGACATGTTGCCAAGGAAGTGAGGTCATGTCTTGGGTCCACAACCTGAGTGCCTCCTTCCATAAGCAGACCCTATGGCCAGTCTTCATACTCATAGTGAAATAAATCCGTGGCCATTCCCTTATCATTATTTTTTTTATCTAT